TATATATGAAGCTCAGTTGCTCGTATCATTTCTAGAGCCCCCTCCCTTTTTTTTTCTGAATTTCATATTGTATTTAATGAGAAAGGCATCTTCTCATAAAAAAGGGGGAGGAGGCTCTAGAAATGACACGAGCAACTGAGCTTCTTATGTAAGTTTTGGAGTTTATGGATGGGAGAGGCAATAATCAACACGTGATGTGACCATTAGCGTGAACAAATGTAGCAGTGTTGCCCGTTTAAATATACAGGGAGGCGAAATTTTTTGTTTGTCTAATAAAACATTGAGCGTAAATAGTATTTATTAACAAATTTGATCAGTAAAAGTAGTTTCGTGATTGGCGGAACCTTCCTCCTCACAGAAGGGACTTGTTTCTTCGTTGCACCAGGTGGTGCTTCGGGAAAATGTAAACAACGCAACAGCAGCAGGTTGCTGACTCGCAGCGCTTTTTACTTTGAGATGGATGAAAATGCTCGCTTTTATCGGGAGCTGCCGAAGGTGGTAAGTGACGTTTATAAATTTAATGACAAACTAACAACGAGAAAGTCTTTAAAATGGGAATTAATGAGGAAAATGAACAAATCGTTTTACTGAATGCTAACGTCAGCGCTTTACTTGTCAACAGGAGCTTCACGCGCACCTCAATGGCTCAGTCAGCTTCGTTACCATGGAGAAGCTGATCAACAGGAAGCCGCACCTCAACATCGAGAAAAGCATGACAGCTATCGGCAAGGGCCAGCGGAGGACACTGGATGAGTGCGGCTCATTATACGGGCTTTATCAGAGTTTTATAGTTTGAAATTAAACATATAAAACGTATTTAACTGTAGTGTACAAATAATTTAATCATTTATGTTAATTATCAGTCCAATGATACTTTCAGGGACTGTGTTTGAGAAAATTATACCAGATCTTTATGACTTGTGTGATTATACATCATCTCAGGATGTGGTATAAGAAGATGTTTCCAAGCCAGGTTAAATAAAACCAAACTGATTTGTCTTTTTTGTTGCATTAATTTATCAAAGAATTTCTCAAAACATCAGCAGTTTATAATCAATTACAGTTAAATTATACATTGATTATCACTGTTGTATAAAGTATCACAAAGTGATACTTGAGTAAAAGTACAAGTATCTTACCATAAAAATACTTTGGTGAAAGTTAAAGTCCTCCTCTAAGAATATTAGTAAAAGTCTTAAAGTATCTAATATTTTTTTGTATCAAAAGTAAATTTCTGACATAAAGTGTACTTAAGTATTAAAAGTAAAAGTATTTTAGATTTTCCAAAATAATATTTATTGGGAGGTGGCCTCCCCAAAAAACGTTTTTCTAAACGACTAATAAAATATTAATATTAAAAACGTCAGGATACACTAATGTAGCTGTTTCAGATATATACTGTATATATTTATATGTAAATAAACACATACATCTTTAGGCTACAAAAGTCTGATGTGTCCTGCTGGAGCGTGACATGTTGTGGAGCTGTGATGGATTGTGCACAAACTAATATGGTGTCAAAATGTTATACAGTATCTATATTTATGTCTCATTCAACCACAGTTATATTCACTCAATCCAGGAGGCACAGTTTATCTGTACAATACTTCTTTTAATAACAAGCTGAATAAAAACAAGCAGAAATGAAATAAAAGTAACGACTTTATACTTCTTGCCCTTATTAAAAATGGAAGGAGTAGAAAGTACAGATAATTGTGTGAAAATGTAAGAAGGAGAAGTAAAACCTAGGCTGAAAGATAATTACTCAATTACATTAACAATGTATTTGTACTTAGTTACTTTATAACTCTGTTGATTGTTGCTGCCTTGCCTGTCTGCAGATGTTTTGAGGTGTTTAAAGTCATCCATAAACTGGTGAACACAGAGGAGGATATCCTGATGGTGAGAAAGAAGTGTCAGTCAAAAACGTGTTTTCAAGATCTGAGATCTTTTC